GGTGATGGGTATTGAGGAGGGCACCTTTTGGGATGAGCACTGGTTGTTGTATGGAAACCAATTTGACAATAAACTTCATATATTGAAATAATTAATTAATTAATTAATTAAAAAGATTCTCTCTTTCTTGGGGCACCTGGGTGGCTCAGTCAGTTGAGCGTCCGATGTCAGCTCAGGTCATGATCTCACAGCTTGTGAGTTCGAGCCCTGTGTGGGGCTGTGCTGACAGCTGGGAGCCTGGAGCCTGCTTTGGATTCTGTGTCTCCCTCTCTCTCTGCCCCTACCCTTCTCATGCTCCATCTCTGTCTCTCTCTCTAAGATAAATAAACGTTAAAAAAAAAAAGAAAAGATTCTCTCTCTCTCTCTCTTTCTCCCTTTCTCCCTCTGCCCTTCTCTCCTACTCTCTCTCTCTCTAAAATTAAAAAAGAAATAAGGTAAGAATTTGTGGGGAGCAGGTAGATTTTTCTTTTTTTTTTAAAAGAAGGTAGATTTTTTGATAAATAATCTCTTTCATATCATTTTGAAGTGCTGTCATTTATATTACTTAATTTGAAAGGTCTCTGTGAAGTATCTGGGTAGGAAAAGTGATTTTTATACCCCTTCGTATATGGGGTGATTAAGGTCAGTGAAGATATGTCACTTGTCCAAGGTCACACAGCTGATCATTTGCAGATGTGGGACTCAAATGTACATCTTTTCTATATTTTCTCTTTGGTTCTGGTGTCTTTTCCATTTCACCATGTTGGAAAATGCCCTGAAAAGGCAGACACGGAGGTGTATGCACATGTATGCATGTGCATGTGTGTGTGCATGTGTGTGTATGTTGAGGCTGGATGGGGAAGAGGAGGATCAATAGGTCTAGAGAAGAAAAAAGATTTTAACTAAAATTCAGGCTGCCAGGCACTGTATGAGGGCGTACAGATTGAAAACCCCCTCCTAAGAAAGGCCGGCAACCCTAGGCGGAGTGAAGGACCAGAGTTTTTACAAAGGCTGGGAGGGCACTGGGTGGGACCACAGGCAAATAAATGTAAGAGCATAAACTGCTTTGTCAGTCAAGGACAAAGCAGCTGGGAATTGGCATCTGGAGGCTAATGGGATTGATCAAGAAATTGCTCTTTTGGAGGAGGTAGAATCTCCAAATGCAAGGGAGCTTGGTCTTTGGCCTGTGTAACTGCAGGGGCTGCTGGGAAATGTAGTCTCTAGCGAGGTGACTAGTGACCAGCTTCCAGCTCTGTGATTATGGAGGAAGGCAAGAAGGAATTTTGGTGAGGAGCTGGTGGTCTCCATCACAACGCCCAAACTAGATTTCCCAGGAGGCTTAGCCATCCCGAATGACGCTCCTGTGGCCCATAGCACGTCCTCAGAGAAGAATCTTCCTCCAGTCGCTTCGTTTGGGGAACCAGCAATGCTTAATGGGAGTATCAGTTACAGTCCGGTTCAGGTACATGTGACAGAAGACCTATCATAGCAGTGACCTAAGGAAAGTAAATACTTGCTTTTTCCCGTCTCGTGTAAGAGATGTTTATCGTATTAGTGATGTGGTAATGGTGTCAGGGACTCTTGTGATCCTCCTGTTCTGCCATCGCAGCATTTGGTTTCTTCCTCATTGTCCAACCATCTCTTCACGTTCCCCCCTGACAACAGGGATTTCCCAGAAGTCACAGCGCTTCCACTGACACCCCGTTGGTCAGAACCTAATCACACGGGGCACCTAGCTGCAAGGGAAGCTGAGGAATGTAACCTTTCTGGGCATTTATGAGCCTGGCTCCAAACTCAGGTTTCTTGTGCTGAGGAAGAAGGGGAGATCAGACATCGGGGAGCAGTAAGCAGTCTTCTGCTAGGGATCACGTGGCCCCATGTCCCCGCCGGTCGCCTTTACTTCCGCTCGAGTGTGTGTGTGCATGTGCGGGCCCGTGCATGTGTGTTTCTCTGCCTGTGTCCGATTCTAAAATCCATCTTCATAGTCATCTGAAGGGAAGCAATCGCCATAATAGCTGAGGGGATGGAGTGGGTACCAAGCGCCAGACACGATCGAAACCACTTACTATTCACCACAGCACTCTCAAAGTGCCTCACCTAGGAGACTTTGGTGCAGGACTGTTTATAGAGCTATGGTCAGGGTAGAGGAAACCAAAAGGTCTTGCTGGAGCGCTCAGAGTTTAGCAACAGCAGGCAGTCATAACCGCCTCTGAAAGGGCGAGGGGGCAGAGCGGTCTCATCAAACCAGCCTGGCCAGAGCTTAGGGACATGGAAGAGGGACTGGCTGCCAGGAGGTTTAACTAGAATGAAGCCAGGGCAGGAGTAGCCCCGGGAGGCTGATAAATACCCTGACCTGTCTCTCCTCCCAACCTTAACTCTCCTGATGGTGCCCCACTTTGGCTGAGGCCAAGTGGAAGGCAGAGAGCAAGGGCCTCCAGGGAAAACAGTCCACAGAAAGCAGCCTCCTGGGGTGGGGGTGGGGTGCCTGGGTGGCTCAGTCGGTCGAGCATCTGATTCTCGATTTTGGCTCAGGTCGTGATCCCAGGGCTGTGGGATTGAGCCCCAGGTTGAGCTCCGCACTGAGCGTGGAGCCTGCTTGGGATTCTCTCTCTCTCTCTCTCTCTCTCTCTCTCTCTCTCTCTCTCTCTCTCCCCCTCCCTCCCTATTCCCCTCCCCCTGCTCATGCCCTCTCTCTTTGAAATTAAAAAAAAAAAAAAAGCAGCCCCCTGGGGAACAGAGCAGGGCAAAGAAAGGCAGAAAATGGACTGGGGGAAGCAACCCATACAGCATTATTATGACTCCCTTTTATAGGTAAGGAAATTGAGGCATGGAGAAGGTAAGTCACTTGCCCACCTGCTAAGCAACAGAGGGAGCACCCCCCCTAGCTTCAGATGCGTGTCCTGAAGGAGAAGGCAGAACGCAGGCCCGCGTGCCTTTCCCATCTGTCTGCATGGCTCTCTGCGCACAGTAGGCATCTGATAAACGGTCAGTGGATGAAATCATTGGGCGAGGCCTATTTTGGTGTGGTAGTAACTGTTTCCTCCTCACCGCTGCAGATTGCTGTCCCAAACCTCAGCGAGGCTGTGCAGGATGCAGACCTGCTGGTGTTTGTCATTCCCCACCAGTTCATTCACAGAATCTGTGATGAGATCACCGGGAGAGTGCCCAAGAAAGCCCTGGGAATCACCCTCATCAAGGTAACGTGCCTCTGACCCCAGGCAGGGAAGCGGGCCGGATGTCGGTTAC